AAAAAATATCCATGTCCTTTCCTATTCAGTTAATTCACTAGAACTTAGGGAAAGGCTCTTTTTACTTCCTTCCTACATGGACTTTAGCTTTTTATTATATTTTGGTTTTTAGAAAAGGGGGAAGGACATCTTATAAATGAACATGGATTATAATCAATGAGTTATGTGTGGGACTTTCTTTTTCATATTTATGAGTTGTTCTCCACTAAAGGACCACATCCTTCTACACTTGGCCTTGTTGCAGTTCCTCCGTGACAATCTCTGTCTGTGGTATGTTCTGTCCTTCCCCTTCACTATGTACAGTGAAACCTGTGAGAGTCAGAATTCTGCAGAACTGCCTTGTTTTTCCAGGTCTCACAAGTTTTCTGCCTTTGATAAGGTGCAGTATCACCACTTTTCTATCACTCATTTTAGTGGCAAATATTTGCTTTTTCCTTCACTGACAGGTTTCCGCCTTATACAGGTTTCAGCTACACAGGTTTCAGTGTAGTTTGTTCTAGAACATGCCATTGCAATGTGTTGACTTCTACTTTCTTTTTAAAGACTATCTTTCGTTTCAATTCTTAACTTTAATTAGACAACTTTTTTAATGATAATATAAAAATGTGATTTCTTTCTTTTTCTTTGTTGTTTGTTTTCTTTTGTTTTTGGAAGAGGGTCAGAGAAGAGGACGGATATCCCCAACTCAATTAAAATCTTTTATATATGTCTGGATTATTTTACAGCATACCTTTGTCATGTGAAGCAGTTCTCTCCTCACATCCATCCACCCTTCCGAATGCAAACAAAATGTTCTTCATCATTTACTTCTAAACTGGAAGAGTTGTTAGCTGCCTCGAGTCAGCTGTGACTCACAACAGCCCCAGGTACAACAGAAAGAAACACTGCCTGGTCCTGCACCATCCTCACAATCCTTCCGTGCTTGAGCCCACTGTTGCAGCCACTGTGTCAATCCATCTCCTTGAAGATCTTTCTCTTTCTCACTGACCTTCTACTTTACCAAGCATGATGTCCTTCTCCACGGACTTGTCCCTTCTGACAACATGACCAAAGTATGTGAGGATGAAGTCTGGCCATTCTCACTTTCAAGAAGCTTCTAAGACAGATTTGTTTCTTCTTCTGGCAGTCCATGGTATTTTCAATATTCTTTGCCAATACCACAATTCAAATGTATCAGTTCTTCTGTGGTCTTCTTTATATATTGTCTATTTCTCACATGCATCTGAGGTTATTGAAAATACCATGGTGTGGATTAGACACACTTTAGACTTCAAAGTTACATCATTGTCCTTTAACTTTTTAAAGAGAGTTTTTACAGCAGATTTGCCCATAGTGATGCATCATCAGATTTCTTGACTGCTGGCTGCTTCCATGAGGGTTGATTGTGGATCCAAGTAAAACTAAATTCTTGAGAATTTCAATCTTTCCTCCATTTATCGTGATATTGTTTATCATGATATTGTTTATGGGTCCAGTTGTGAGGACTTTTGTTTTCTTTATGTTGAGTTACAGTCCAAACTGAAATCTGTAAACTTTGATCTACATCAGTAAGTTCTTCAAGTCTTCTTCACTTTCAGTAAGCAAGGTAGTATCATCTAAATATCACAGGTTGTTAATGAGTCTTCCTCTAATCCTGAAGCTGCATTCTTCTTCCATGAGGGGAGAAAGGATAAGAAATTGGCTAAATACAATATTCATTTGTTCTTTAACTTTTCCATAACACAACATCCATTTTTGCTAAAGGAGAACTATCTTCTGTCTAAGTTTAATTTCCCTTGAACTAAGCTACTCGGAATTTCTCCCACTTAGCTTTGTCATGATAAAGAAGGGGTCTGCAGGACCAGCATCTCCACTCAGCCAGCCATTGAAGCCAATCAGACTCAGGGACCAGATTATTCTGCAGGAAATTCAGAGTTGCCACCCTCACCATTAGATCGCTATGCCTGTGCAGATCTAGCTTGTGCTCCTTCTTGTCTAAAACTTAATGCTGGAATGTGGTAGTAGTATTAGAAAAGTACTTTATGATAAGCTTTAGTTAAATGTCTAGGTTTTGTTTTAGCTTATTTTGAAAAAGAAATACAATTTTAATAGTTTTAAATTTATGGTTTCATATTCATTTTTATTTGTATGACCTTGCTTTTTACCTGGAATAAATATTATTTTGATGATGGAGGCCAGAGGCATTTCAGCACTGAAATTCTTTAGGGCTCATGTACACATTTCATCATATTTTACATTTGCAAAGAAGACATTAGAATAAAATCTGTACTGAACTATGCATGAACAAAAAACATTTGCTTCCCGGCCACTTCAAGTCTGCAATTACAGCAACATTAAAATATAACACATCAAATACATTTTCCTTCTCTGTTAGGATTAGCAAAGAAAAAACACCTTAAGATTTCTAGTTACTGTTACTTAATCTTCCCTGAGTTTCATCTTCCCTTATCTGTACAATGGAAATACTATTCATTTTTGGTGTTTTTGTAATGATTAAATGCAGAAAAGTATAGGAAATACAGGTCCTTAATTGAAGTGATGACAGATGATAGATACATATGTAGTAGAGAGAGAGAAAATACAAAAAAAAAGAAAGTTTCCCTACATGTGTAGATGCCAGTTGTTTAATTAAATATGCATATTTAAATTTTTACTTAGCTGATTTTTAACTTACACCAAGAGGAAGTGTCCTACCCTAAGGGTACTGTTTTGTTAAATGTTTATGAAAAGTTCAGCTTCCTTTAACCTGAAGTTTTTTAGACTGTTACAAATGAAATGTCAAATATAGAAAAAGTCAAGCCCTCAAGCTATCTGTGACCAAATAACCTTGCTGAAGTTGAAAAAGACGCTTCTGTAATGCACACACAGTCCTGACTTGGAGAGCATGTGAACCTCTGCATGAGAACGCAGGCACCTGACCACCAATGAGAGCAGCCAATCAGGAGAAACAGTTGACACCACACCCACCTGCCCACCCCAAGCACCCAAAGTGGAGCCAGACAGTCTGCTTTTCTACCAGGTTGATATGCTAGGAGTTAATTCTTCCTGGAAATCTCTGCGATTCTAATGGACATGCAAAGCAACAGCACTGGTCATTCCAAAACCAGTCTCATTAAAAAAAAAAAAAAAAAAAAAACTTACTTCAACGCTGGGTTGGTTTGATTTTGTTACATGTTAATCTGGAAAATTATACACTATAAGCATCAGACTTCCTTTTAGTATTTACCAAAATCTTGCAGTTTTCAGAGTGGCACAGAAACGTAGATTGATTTGGTCTTTTTAGCAAATAACATTTATGCATTATTATAAATAGGTTGCTTGAGAATATTCCATATAAAATGGTAAGCATTTCCACACATTAGTTAATATGGCATTTATATCTTGAGCATATTCATTGCAATTATATTCATCTTGTGTCATTTTCTAAATTACAATTTACTATATGAAGTTTTTGGATAACTGCTACATTATAGTTGCTCATCCTCTGCATGGTCTCTTCTGCCATTTCTAGAGTTCTTCTGAGGGATTTGATTCTTGGAAAGTTTCCAGCTTCCTCTACATACCTTATAGGATTCAATGAGCATGTACAACATGATGTTTAATAATTACAGTACAAAGAATATAGTGTGTTATGGAACCGCATATATCAACTTAAAACAGAACTGTATTCTACAAAATAGCAAGCCTTGAATTATTTGGGTATTATCAAGTTTGATTTTATTTCTTGAGAAAAACTTAAAATGTGAGCCTAATTCAAATTGTAGGGCCATGCATCCTCCTAATCTACACATGCAGATTTTGTGTAAGTGTCTGTCTGTGTGTTTATGGAAACTGGGTGAATATTAAAAATATTCTGAGAAATAATCCAGTATAAACAGTGGATTGGGGCCTCTGATTTTATGACACAGTTTCTCAGCTGTAAAATGGAGAGTATAGTTGTCTTTCCTGGCTAATGCAAACTCTTTACATTTAGAAAGATATTTGAAAGTAAGTAGTGTGAGCATGTAAGCAGAAAAGTACAATATCCAACGTGATTTTACATTTCTTATTATTTCACTTGCACAGCTTCAGACACTCTTTTAAACTGCTTTACTGTGATATAATTTACATACCATAAATTTAAAGCATAAATTGAATGGTTTGGGGTATATTTACAGAGTTGTGTTTCCATCATCATAAACTAATTTTAGAACATTTTTATCATCCCCTCCCAAAAGACAAAAACACACTTGTACTCATCAGTGGTCACTCCCCATTCTCCATCACTCCCCATTCTCCCACCCCTCTCTCGTAGCAGACCCAGGCAACCACTAATCTATTTTCTGTCTCAATAGATTTTCCTATTCTGGACATTTCATATAAATAGGGACATACAATTTGTCTTTTGTGATCAATGTCTTTCACTTAGCATAACTAAGTAAGTTCTTACTTGACCTTTACTTCTGAAGCTAAGATAATACCCTTGCATTCTTAACTAGTTTGAGGATTGGGTGTTATTCGTATGAGGCAACATTCATGAACTAGTCAGAGCAGTAGGCTTTTCTCCATCACATAAAAAACTAACTCATCTTGCCTTTTTTAAAAATGCCAGAGTGTGCAAGCACAAACTGGGAAGCAATGTGTAATACCCCTGGCTCTCTAACTTATATTGTGTCCCCTAAATACATACAACTGCCAGCACATAGCCACCCCCATTGGGTGTCCAAGGTGGCAAATCTTTACCAAGTAAATTGCCTCATCTTCCTTCCATTGAGAGGCTGGTAGGTTTGAACCACCAACCTTCTGAATAGCAGTCAAATACCTTAGGGACTATGCCACCAGAGCTCCTTCTATTGTGTCCCCTAGAATTCAGAAAAGATATAAAGAATTGAAGTATTGACCAAATGTAGTCTAAAAGCTTAACTTCTCTCTTTGAAAAACTGGTGTGTACCTAAATTGATATAGACCTGTGTCGGACTCCTGGACAGCAAGATGACAAATAAAAACTTCACTGAAAAATCAAATTTTCTCTTCTGCCCTTTCCCCCTCTTCTTGCTGGCGGGGTTGATCCTCATTACAGTTTGCTCAGATATTTGGAAGTGAATTTAGGGCCCTCCCCCCAACTTATGATTTTATAGCCAATAGGTGATGAGGTTTATTTGCATATTTCCAGTCACATAAGCAGCTCTGGAGTGGAGACAGTGTCAGACTCAATTCCTCCTCCTCCTCCTTAAAGGAAATCTGCCACTTCTAGCTGCCCAGTCCTTCCCTTTAAAGGGCGACTTGCCCCGCGTGGGACCGCGGCTGCAGCTCTCTCCCGCCTCCGATTCAGCCAGTACATCGGTCCCTCCGTGCGCCAGCCCGCGCCGTACAGCTACTACAGAGGGACGCGTCCGGAGATGAATAGCAAAGCACTGCTCCTGGTGGGCCTGGGCTTGTGGCTCCAGAGTCTGACCGCCTCCCGCGGAGGGGTGGCCATCGCTGACAGTAAGTTTTGCGCGCAGGCTCCGCTCCACCTGCAGACCCTGCTCGGCGGCCACTCATACACACTCTGGGGATGGGAAAGACGAAGTTGGAAAGGGCTGAGAGTGAGCACCTGGGACTCTCCTTGCCCAAGCTCTAGCCTCCGTGTAAGGACACCTAGTTAGGACCCGAGAGGGGTAGAGAGAAAATTTCGTTGGGCAGCTCTCAGTTCCCGCTTTCCCTCTCTCCAAGGTTCCCGCGCTATCCCCTCCACTCAGCTACCGCTGCGGCCGCGTTCCCGGGCGCGCGCACAAAGCCGGGGAGAGTCTGGGGGAGTGTGAGGGGCGGGACCAGAGAAGGGAAGAGCCCGGATGAGGTGACCGGCTGTAAGTTCCTCGTTCTGGGGGCCCTGGAATGAAAGGCACGCGGGCCAAGGTGACCCCGGCTTGGCCGCGGCGGCGGCTCAGCCCTCGCCAATGGGCGCGCGGCCAGAAAGTCGCCCCTTCTGTTGTTGAAGCTGGTCCAAGGAAAGGGAGAAGGCGTTGTCCGCATCTTAGAAGCACAAGGCACACTGGCGCTCTGGGATGGGTGAGGGGAACGTGTGGCACGGGGTGTCCTGGGGACGCTGCGTCCTGCACGCGTTAGGGCGCCTGGGACGCTCTCCAGCTTCCATGCACCCACGCTTTGTTTCGGCCGAGAAAATCTAGAGAAGGGCTGACCGTCCTGAACGTGGCGTAGCGACGAGCAGTCTATGGCCAAGTCTGCACTTGGTATTCCCTCCTGTCAGAGCTGAGGGCAGCTCCGGGCGCCGAACCTGGCGGTACGTCCGCGTAATCGCCAGGCTTCCGGCCACCTCAAGGAGGCCATAAGTGGAACCCTCATTACTGCCGCGGTCTCGCAAGAGTTAAGGCATTTGGAGCGAGATGCGAATTTCTTTATTACAGGACAGAGGAGTGCCCAGCCTGAGCCTTTCCTACAGTAGAGACAGTCTGGTAACTTGAACCTTGGTTAATGTAAAATACAACAGCAACTCAAAACGCAGCTGAAGCAGGTGATAAAAAGAGGCAACATTGTCTTTTTTCTTCTGTGCTGGAATTAATTTAGAGCAGTGTCAGTTCGAAGTGCTTTCAAGGGGCACGTTGGCAGATGTTCAAGTACTAGCCAAGTGTATCCATGACTTTGCAGCTGAAAGTTGTTTTATTTCGGCACTAGTTGTGAAATAAAATTATTGTTAGATAAACAGTAGATTTCATGAAAGCTAAATTTGATGGAAAGATTTAGTTATTTTTCTGTCAATTATCTATGAGAACACTGGAGATGCAGTTACAATGTCTTACATTTTTTGTGGGGGTCTGTTCCTCTGCATAGTGTTCACACAGTCCATGAAGATGGAAGGAAAGCATCCCAAATTCTCATTTCAGAAAGAATACCATTGTATAAAGTTACTTTTTATCGGAAAACACACACAAACATGTGTGATCCACATTTTGAGTTTTTGCTATCCTGGGTTAGAGGTTCATTTCTCTACACTTTTGGGCAGGCAGTGTCACTTCCTAGGTTTAGGTTTCTCAACTGTAAAATGAGGAGTACAGACTAGATTGGAAGTTTTTCGAGGCTCCTCTAATTCTTAATCTTCAATTAAATTGGACACGTGATTAATTAAATTGAATTTTAACCAACATGTGCTTTCCCTGGCTGAAAATGTAATAAGAGAGGCATCACTTGTAAGTAGATGTGAAATTACTTCCTCACTTCACTCCTCTTTTCCTTTGCCTCTCCTATTACAGCTATTTCACTATCCTTTTCTCCTCTAAATGAATTCTACCTTGGAATGTAAGAACTTCAGAGTATGAAAGGCACATGTGTGGGAGAATGGTAGGCAGCACTTCCTCCGTGCTCTTACTTTATTTATTCATTTTCTATTTCTTTCCAAGAAGCATATGAGGATATGAAGCCCTGCCCTCAGGCTCTGCTCTGGGAGCCGCCAAATTCTCTGCATGGCCTCAATTAGGAAACTTGAAGGGCTGAGAGGGAGAGCAGAAGGGTCAGTGCTCAATAGCTGCAGTTCTATTTGACTGGCCACAGTGAATTTCCAGGGCAACACCTGAGTTAAGCATGATGGGTGATGAGAGCAAAATGGCAGATGTCACTTTCTAATAGAGCTCAGCAAGGGAGTGATTGACTCATAGCTGTATTGAAAGGTGGGAGTCAGGTATGGGGGAAGAGTTGCAAATGGAAAATGTTCACTTTCTGTCAAACTGTATTTTTAGCGCAGCTCTTCATTCTTACTTTATTCCTGAGGAAAAATAAGACTATCAGTTTTACTGACTGTTCAAGAAAGGGCCTTGAAACACATTTTGTTGTTAGTTTCTTCTCTGACCACCACCACCTGCTTCCACATTATTACCACAAAAGCTGCTTTCCATTGCATTAACAGTGAAGATTTTCTAGCAATCAAGATGGTGGTTGATGATGATTTTGGATCACACAGTATAAGCAAAGTATTCAAGACATGTATATATCATTACTTTTCAGGTCTGACTAGAGATACCCTTTAAGGGAGCTTCCTCATGTATTTTTCAACTTTTATGACAATAGATATTCAAAGTGTAAAACTTTTGAAAACTTGTTGGTGTAAAGTTTTCATATAGTGTATTCACTAATAGTAGTTTGTTACTTGAGTGAACAAGGAGCTCTGGTGGCACAATGGTTAAATGCTTAGCTGCTAACCGAAAGATTGGCAGTTCAGACCCACCTAGCTGGTCCGTGGGTCTTGCACCCATGAAGATTACAGCCTAGTTCTACTCAGTTAAATGGGTTTGCTATGAGTCGGAATCAACTTGTCAGCACCTAACAACAACGTCAGTGAACTAACTACTTTTTATCAACAGCCGAGGTTACTTTCTCCTTGAAAAATTGGAGGATGTGAAGGAGGAATATGATTGGATTCCAGCTTAGTCAGAGACTGAGAGTTTGAGATTTATTCTGAACAGTCATTGTTCCCTCATCTGGATAGTTGTACACTGATTACCTATGGTCATCTGAAGAATGTTGGTGTGCAGTGACACTCCTTGGGCACTCAGCAAGCATTAGCTGGTACTCAAAAAGAAAAAAGAAGAAGAAGAAGCAAATTCACTGCTGTCGAGTCAAATCCAACTCATAGAGACCCCTCCATGGGTTTCCCAGGCAGTATCTCTACGGAAGTAGATTGCCCAGTCTTCCTTCTGAGGAGTGCCTGGTGGGTTTGAACCTCCAGCCTTCTGGTTAGCAGTCAAATGCCTTAGGGAAATAAATATCTACTAGGAAAGAAGAAATTGGTTAATTTAGACATATATACACAGACACCTGTGTATGTTTCTACTGGAAATAAATATTTAAACTTATAACCTTTATTCTTTCTGCTCTTCCCAGTCTATTCTCTCAGAATAATCAATTTGTGTCCCAGGTTTTGACTTTTTGCTGAATAAAAGAAAATGGCTCCACTAACTGGCAATGGAATGGAACAAAAATACAAAGATGATCAAATTGATTGATATGGCCACACTTGATATGGTTCAGCCATCATGTTCATGACACACACACTGTGCCATGTAATGACATGTCTGTCAGTAACGAACACGGAGGTTGCTGGCTATGATGGTTAAGGTTACGTGTCAGCTGGGCTGGACCATGATACTCAGTGGTTTGGCAGTTATGCAATGATGAAATTTGGCAGTTATGTAATGATATAATCATCTTCCATCTTGTGATCTGATGTAGTCATCCTCCATTTTGTGACCTGATATGCTCATTCTCCATTTTCATATAACACTGATGTTCACATAATAACCTGTTCTTTGAAACCAAACTATGTCAATAAGTGAGGACTGGGTGTATTGATTTTTTTTTTTTTTTAGTTTTTTATTGTGATTTGGGTGCACATTACAAAGCAGATTCGTTTTACTCTCAATAGTTCATGCACATTTGGTTTCATGGCCCCGATTACATCCCAACAACAAAAAGCTCTCCTCCCATCTCCTCCCTGTGACTATTCCTTCCCCATGACATTCTTATCTATGCATTCCTGTCTGTCCAGTTTCCCTCCATGCAAATGCTGGCTTTCTGATGTCTCATGGTTGATTGATCCAAGGGGTACATCTCCCTGAGGTAGGTGTTCTGCCATTGATTTTTCACCTCACCAAATTGACCAATTCAGCAATGTGGCTTGTTTTTTGGCATCCTACAGATACTCCCTGAGTCAGTAACTGTGGCCCTCAGTCTCAGACAGCAAATGAATTACTGATGAATACTTTAGGTGTGTGTATGTGTTTGTGACACACACATACAGAGAATAGACTCTTCAAAAAGAAAAGATCAAAAAGGCAAACCAGTTGTGTTGAGCTGATTCCAACTCATGGCAACCCCATGTGTATCTTAGTAGACCTATGCTCCAGAAGGTTTCCAATGGCTGTGATCTGTTAAGAGTAGATCACCAGGACTTTCTTCTGAGGTGCCTCCGAGTGGATTCAAACCACCAGCCTTTCAGTTAATACCCCAGAGCTTAACAGTTGTCACCACCCAGGCACCCACTTCAAAGAGAATTTCATTATGATCAAAGAAAATTGCATCATAATTGGGCTCTTCTGCCTGATATGCTCATATAAATAATCATCTTATCCGTTTGATAACTCTGAACTGACTCTCATTGTTCAGAGTACCATCTGTTTCTTTCCTGTGATATTATATGCTCCTTCTTTTCTAGCAACGATATCCCCTCTATAAATTCATTTTGTCCTTAAAAAAAAAAAAAACCCACTGTCATCAAGTCGATTCTGACTCATAGTGACCCCCATTGGGTTTCCAAGGCAATAAATCCTTACAGAAGTAGATTACCTATTTGCCTTCTGCAGAGCTTTAGTAACAGTCAATTCAAATCAGTTCATCTACTAGCCAGGTGAACTGACCTTTGAGCAATCCTATAATGTATTGGAACAAGTCAACATAATGACTAAATAGGGTCCATCTTTCTTCCTATCTCTACATGG